CTCACTGAGACCGCAGTTCACCATCATTCATTATTCATGTGCCTGCCTGGCTTCTGCGCTGTGCTTGGTACCTGAGAACTACACAGATTAAAAAGATACCAGTTTATGTACTATAATATGTTGCATACGAAAAAAAAATTAAGAGATATTTATTCTATATGTGAAATAACCAATTTAATAACTGACTAACCAATTTAATAAAAGATCCCATCAAGGCATTTCTCTGGGCCTAGGTTTCCCCAAATGTAAAATCAAGCCAATACCTACTTCACAGGATTGTCCTGAGGGCTGACTGATGGTGGGAGGTATTTACAACAATGTTCCTAAGAGCACTGTTGTAACAGCGGAAAAATTGGAAACAACCTAAAAGCTGGTCCTTGGACTTCCCTGGTGGTCCAGTTGTTAAAGACTCCAACACCCCCAAGGCAGGGGGCACGGGTTCCATCCCTGGTCAGGGAACTAAGATTCTGCAAGGAGCGGTCGGAAAAAAAACAGAAAAAAAAATCCAAATTTGGTCCTTGAGGGACATAAACTGTGGTGAGACTTCTGGCTAAACATGGAAGACATGTAAACATGAGCATTTGTCTTCTCTCCCTTCCATAACTGAACTGGATAACAGGAGAGGCATCAGAGAGGCATGTATGTACACGGACAAAGACCCGGAGAGAAGACAGCAGTGGAGAAAAAGATTCCAACAGGCTTTAGAGGCTGGACAGTGGCCTAAGGGTGGTGACAGAATGAACAAGAAATGGTGCTCCAAGATCCTGGAGGTCCCTAGACTCTGGGTCAGGGCCTGGCTGAACACAGAGGGTGGCCGAGAGCCTGTGTTCAGGGTGTCGAGACCCCTGGGTCTCCCTCACCTCTCACATCTGAGTCACACACACCAACCCTCCACACACTCATTTTTGGGGGCTTTGGACTTGGGGACCCCAGGCGCAGCAGAGGTGAGGCTTGAAGCTAGAAATAGGAACTCCCACCCTGCCCTCCCAACCCACACCCATACAAGACAGGGATGGAGAATGGAGGATATTCTCTCAAAAAACTGAACGGCCCCAGAGAAAGCCTGCCACCTGTCAACATTTGGGAGTCTGTGTAAAAAGGCTTTCACTGTCCTACAGCAAAGCCGACAGTCAATGAGTGCCCTCCCCCTACACGTGCGCGCGCGCGCGCGCGCACACACACACACACACACACACACACACACAGAGCTTCCACTCGGCTTCTTGCTGGCTCCCTATTAGATATTAACAGAGAGCCAACGACCAGCAGACATTTAAGGAAAGCCTCCAAAATGAAAAGAGAGAGACTCCTTCCATATATTCCTCCCAGATATTAAAAAGCCTATCAAAGAAATCTGGAAGAAATAGAGAAACTAGGAAGCACAAGAAAAAAAGAAAAAAACTCTATAATTGGAAAGTTAAAAAAAAATGGAAGGGGAAACAATGCATATAGTCTGTTAGCATTTGTTGTTTTTTTTTTTAGCATTTGTATTTTTAAAGAGAAAAGAAGTATCTATGTCTGTGTCTCTGCACCAACCAATCTGGAGGATTTACAAGACTGAAACAGCAGCTGTGTGGAATAGGGGTCTTGGGTGGCTCAGGACAAAGGTTCGCTGTACGTTCTTTCGTACCTTTTGAATTTTGATTGTTACCTATTTCTTGGGTTACAATATAATACTGCATTTAAAAAATATAGATGCAGAGAGATGCAAGAAGATATTGCTCTTTGGAAATTAAAAAGGTAATCAACATCCATCTTTATTTAAGGATAAAGAGTAATGGAAAAAAATAAATATAACAAAAAACTTTTTTCCCCCAAAAGGAGGACACAGGAAAACTTCCAGAAAGTAAAACAAGAAGATGAAGTGGGGGGTGTCCAAGGGAACCTCAGTTTTATGTCTAGTGCTTTAATATTTTTTGAGGAGAATGCAGTCATATTATTTGCGTAATTAGGACACTGAATGTGGGTGGCAATCCATGTAAAGCTCCTCACATGCAGTAGGTACTTGGTAGTTTCCCTTCCCTCCAGGAGCCCAGGGATTGGCAGGCAGCCCCGAGCCTTCCAGTTTGGAGGGCAGAGCCAGAGGTCACAGGGTTTGAGTAGCCGATTGTGAGGGAGGCTAGGCCATTGGTCCCCATTCCATGCAGCCCTCCCAGGGACATGATTCTCCTCCTAATTAGAAGGCTTTTTCTGTACATGCTGTGTTGAGGGACACACAAGGTCTCTGAAATTAATTACTAGTTTGGTCAAGTTTGACTCATGTGGATGGAGCAAGTTCATGAGTCAGTGGAGCAATGACCCAGCTCCCTTCCACCCCAACTTTGAAGTCAGTTGTTAGAAGAAGAAAAAGCAATAAAAGAAAACCTTTATTAAACCTTTATTAAAGGTCTCTGCCATGCCGCCTACGTCAGAATCATTGGAGGTGCTTGGCCCCCTCGCACATCTTTTGAATGAGCGTTGGGAGTGGAGCCTGGAAATTTGGCTACCAACCCCCAGAAGCAGGTAAATGTAGAAGCTACGATCTCAGTTATGCAAATATATTATTTTATTTCTCTTTAGTTCAATTTACCTCTATTTTGGGTCTCCCTTCTAGCTGCTTGCAGAAAACATTCTCTTAGTCATTCCCAGGTGAACTCACCTGGTCTCCCCCACCCCACCTCTTCTCCTGCCTCCACCATTGATGTAAATGTGGGGAGTTCCCTAGCACCACAGCATAGGTGGGGTGGGTGGGGAGGGCTGCTCGGTGAGCTGCGCATCCTCTCTTGGGGATAAACCCTCCTGGGTCCCCGCCTCCATGGGTCCATGTGCTCTCATTTCTGTTCTGCTGCTGCTGCCCCCAGGATCCAAGAGCAATGGCAATGTGCCAGCCTTCCAAGCCACACCGCATGGCCTTGGCTCCCCCAGTGTATTCTGGGTTCCGTCCCTTCCATGTCCCCTGGACTTGGCCGTTGGGGAATGAGGATCACTCTTACACCCGTGTCTATCATCGTGTCTGGTCCTCCACTAGCTTCTCCCCTGCTAGCATAGGGTGTCGGGGCATGGTGGGGGGGGGGGAGCGCTGCCTGTTTGTACCTCCTTCCAACCTTACCTGTCTGAGACCCAGACCCTGAGGCTTTTGAACTCAAAAGCCTGGAATTTGGCGTCTTTGTTCTCTGGCTAGAAAGTAAAGTAATCTCAGGGCCAAAAAGCAAGAGCTAGTCTCCCACAGCATCATCTGAGAATGCCATCAGGGAAGCTGCTCTTTTCTTCCTTTTCACATAGGCTAAGCCACCCAGATCTTCTGTGTCAGTGCCCAAGGACCAGGGAAGTGGCGGCTCCTGGGAGGGGAAGGGAGCTGAGCGCATCTTATCTTAGATCTGCTGGGTCCCCACACCCAACACACACTCCCAGTTCACTCACCTCCCCCGGACAGCTGGGAAATGACACCTCTGGTGACAGAGCCAGTCCCAGGCTTCTGCTGGGAGGGGGTGGGGTGCTGCATGGGGGAGGCTGTCACACCATAGGCCCTGGGAAGCCTGGGTGGGAGAGGGAAGAAGCTAGCTCCTGTTTGTCTCAGAGACCAAGGCCACCAGCCTCCCCTGCCCCCCTTCCAGGGACACAGTGAGCACCCCTGCCGCCGGGCCACTAGGTCTTTTTCACTCTTGAGGCTGGTCCTGACTCATCCCACCGGACAGGCAGCTCACCTGTTCCCATTTTCCCCTGCCTCAGGGGGGCCAGTCCTTCTGGGAAGGAGCGGGGTGGGTGTGTCAGCTGCTGCGTCAGGGACGACAAGGGGTAGTGGATTATCTCCTACCGGGTCCCAGTAGTATATTTTGGGTCCAGAGCCAGGACAGGAGCTGTTAGGCTGACACCCATGAGGTTAATCCGCACGTACAGTAGTACCAAGTACCTGGGTACCGCAGGTGCCGTCCCTGCCTACTTACTGTCCTTCCACCTAAAGGAAAACCAAAACAACAAAACAACAAAAAAGTAAAAGTCCTGGGCTTCCCTGGTGGCGCAGTGGTTGAGAGTCCGCCTGCCGATGCAGGGGACGCGGGTTCATGCCCCAGTCCGGGAAGATCCCACATGCCATGGAGCGGCTGGGCCCGTGAGCCATGGCCGCTGGGCCTGCGCGTCCGGAGCCTGTGCTCCCCAACGGGAGAGGCCACAACAGTGAGAGGCCCGCGTACCGCACACACACACACAAAAACCCCGCAAAAGTCCTGTCCTTTCGCCCAGGCCCTGTGCCTGGGATCAGAGGTTGAGCCCTCCTGCTGCTGCCAGGGTAGCTGCCGCCACTCTGGGACGGAGCTAGGTTTAGGCCAGTCTGCAGCCACCACCTGAAGCAGCCCCGTGGGGCAGCCCCATGCCCTCCTCCCGGCGCCCTAAGCTTGCCCCACCTCAGCCAGGCCTCTCCTGCCAAGGACCCCTGGTCTGAACCTCAGCTGTGAGGATCGTGTTGCTATCCCCCCTACTCAGCTGTCAGGGGCCCCAGACCTCCCTTGAGATATCCATCTGCGGGGCAAGGGGTTGGGGACCAACTGCCACCACTTCACCTCACCAGCGGGGTTCCAGCTATCCGCATGGCCCGGGAACCTGCACTTGCCCCTTCTGATTTCCCTCCGCCCGCCCATTCCACATGCTGAAGGCGGGTCAGCAGGCGTTGGGACCTGGGGGCAGGCCGAGACCTGGGGCTGGGTGGGGTGCGGACCGGTTGATGGGTTTCACGGAGAAGGAGGAGGACGTGTTTGGGGCTGAAGGGTGCCGTAAGGGCCAGGAGGCAGGGGCACGGGTACGGCGGGGAGGGCTGTGGTCAGACCGGGTGGGCCAGCTGTTGGTGTGGGGAAGCCGCGGCCGCCAGGCTCCGGGCTCCCAGGCGATGAGGGAGTGGCTGGGGCTCCGCGGCGCCAGACCAGGAGCCCAGCCAGTCGCGATCTCCGCTCTCCGCGCCCCGCCCCCGCGGCCCGGCTGCCAACTAGAGGCCCGCCGCGCCCCGCCCCCGCCTGCAGTGCCCGGATGTGAGTGACGTGCGGCCGCCATCTTCCTGTCCCGGGCAGCCAGCGCCAGTCGGAGCTAGCGCGAGCCGCCGCCGCCATCACTGCCGCTGCCAAGTTCTCCGCCCGCTGCCCCCGCCATGTGAGTTGGCGCCCGCGCCCGCGCCCGCACCGGGTGGCCTGCGCCGGCCGCCGGCCGCCGCCCTTAGGCCCAGGCCCAGGGAGGGCGCGGGGTTCGACTTGCGCCCCCCGGCGCGCCCCGCATCCCGAGACCAGGCCGGCGCCAGTGACTGCGCGCAGGCAGCCGGAGGGCCCCGCGTCCCCGGCTGGCCGCGCGGGCCCTGGCCGTGGGAGGGAGCGGACCCGGCGTGCGCCCGCCCCGCCCCTGTCATCGCTGCCGCCTGTCGTTTCGGGTCCACCCTCATTTGACAGGCGGGGAAACTAAGGCCCGGGGGGGAGGGGGCCTCACTCAAGGTCACGCAACAACTCGCTCGCGGGGCCGGACGGAGTCCAGGGTTCCCATCGGGTGGCTTTCTTCCCGGGAAGGAGGAAGGAAGGGACGGATGGATGGACAGGCGGATGGGCGGGGCCCTTGCTGCGGAGCCAAGGGCTCCAGGCCTTGGGTCTTGATCCGTCCCTGCCCTTCAGGTCGGCCACGGCTGCCACCGCCCCCCCTGCCGCCCCGGCTGGGGAGGGAGGCCCCCCTGCGCCCCCTCCAAACCTCACCAGTAACAGGAGACTGCAGCAGACCCAGGCCCAGGTGGATGAGGTGAGTTGTGGGGGGGGCGGGTGTCAGGCCAGTGGGAAGGACCCTGAGGGCTGGGAAACAGGTGTGCGGGCCCATCTTGGGTTGGGGGTGATGGCAGTTCATGTTAATGAGTTTGGGGACAAAAATATGTCATGCCCGGTCCTTGTCAGCATGCAGTTGGGAGGGCCGTGAGGTGTCAGTCAGCCTTGCTAGCCTGGGGTGTTTCACCCTGGGCGGGTGTGTTCTGGTGATCGGCAGGCTGCTTGAGGCTCGGTAAATAGAGAGTGCTGCTGTGATATCTGAGATGTCTGGCTACCAGCATGCCCCTGATGCGTGCTCCTTGGCGCATCTGCGGCTATGCTAGGCATGTTCTGTGTATGTTCTTGTCATGTTCGCCAGGCAGCATCGGGGTGCGTGTTCTATATGTGGGCTCATGGTGGAGGAGTGCCCTTTGCGATGGGCCTTGGCACACTCCCCCTGCTTTGCGGGCCTTCCCCCAGGTGGTGGACATCATGAGGGTGAACGTGGACAAGGTCCTGGAGCGGGACCAGAAGCTGTCGGAGCTGGACGACCGTGCAGACGCACTCCAAGCAGGGGCCTCCCAGTTTGAAACAAGTGCAGCCAAGCTCAAGCGCAAATACTGGTGGAAAAACCTCAAGGTAAGGGTGGAGGCAGGCGGGAGGGCAGGTAGGAGGAGTGGGGGGGGGTGGGAGTATCATGGTCTGTCTCACTGACCTCCCCCTCGCCCCCAGATGATGATTATCTTGGGAGTGATTTGCGCCATCATCCTCGTCATCCTCATTGGTGAGTAGGTGGGAGTGGCTATAGGGCCCCTCCCGGAGAGGTGGGAGTGGCTGGGCCCCTTCCCGAAGGGGTTGCCCCTGTCCTTCCTGGGTCTTGAAGGTCATTAACCTAGTTCTTACTATTCAGCAGAAAGCACATATAGCTGCCAATAGAAGTTCTGATTCATCCACAGCCCCAAAGCTTGAAGCTGTTTAGCTTGCTCTTTGCCTGAATCTGGGCAATTTCTCTTAAGAGTTTTGGAAACAGGAAAGCTGGTGGATCCCCACTGCTCCCTTGAGGACCCTTTGGGCCTAGGAGCCCAGTCTGGGAACCCTGGAATTGGGGAGTGGGAGAGCAGCAAAGACCCAGGGGCTTGAGAAACAGTTAGGAAGCCAGCCACCCCACTGTCTGAGAGCTGTGGTCTCAGAGGCCCAGAGGATTAGGGGTCTGTGGCCCCAAGGCCATACCGTGGAGTTGAAGAGACCTTGGAACCGACCTATCCAGCCTCTTTGTGTTACAGATGGAGAACCTGAGGCCAAGAGGGGAAGGGATGTCAACCAGCTGGGAGGTGGGGAAGATGGGAGCAGGGCCGGGCTGACACACTGCTTTCTCTCTCTCTTTCTCCCTTCTCCCTCTTCTTCCTTCTCTTTCCCTCTCCACAGTTTACTTCAGCTCTTAAACCCCTGAGGAGCCTGCCCTGCCCAGAGAAGGGCCTCTCCCCCCCACCCCCAGCTGCTCCTCCACCTCTCAGCCATATCTTCCAGCCCACCTCCCTGGATCCGTGTGTGTGTGTGTGTGTGTGTCGTGTGTGTGCCCCCTTGTAAATAGCCAGCTGTTATTTATACATATATAATATTATATATATTTGGTCTGTTTGTAGTTTTATTACTAGAAGATTTTTTCCGGTTGTCCTTAACACCCCTTCCTGAGGTTCTCATCACCTCCTTTTTCTCTTTCCCTCCTTCCCTTTCCCTTTCTTCCTGACCAGCCCCAAGTCCCCTTCATTTGCATCTGTTATGCAGTCCCCTCTTCCTCCTTCCCTTGGATTTAGCTGATCCTTCCTCCCGCCCTGGACTTCCCCATACCTCCACCCCCCTGCAAAAATTATAAAAAGCAACTGTCCAGGCCTCCCTAGGTGCATCTTCTTTGCATCTTTGGGAGGCTCCGAGACTGGTCCCTTATGGTCCTAAGAATCCCAAGGTCTTCTTGGAGCTTCCAGCATGTTAATTAGCATCCATTTGTCTACTGACATCCCTTTTGGTTTCCTTCTCCCCCCCATTTTCTCTTATGTTCAGTCTTTCAACCTGTGTTTCTTTTTTACTGAGGAGTTAGTCCCTGTTGGTCCTTGTATCACACTTTCATTTGCATGATGTTACTTGCAGGTGGTGGGGAGCCTGGGCTTTTGGGGAGCCAGGTTCTTCTGGCCCCCAGGATCGCCTCCTCCTAGCCCCCCTAGTCCAGTTTGCCTCCCCTACCCCGATTTTCCAAACCTCTTGTCCCTCCTTTCCCTCCCCCCAGCTGGTGTGTAAGTGTCTTGGAGTTCAGTGTCTTATGATGGACCAATAATTCTGCCACTTGGAGTCTCTCCCCACATTCCTGCTCCCCAGTTTCCGTGTGGGGTGCTCAGTTGACATTCCCATGGGGTCTCCCTCCCTCCCATCTGCCTGATCTGCCTCCTCCTCCTCCCACCAGGAGAGTTGGGGGTTGGCCACAATCTGATCTCTCTTGGGAGAGGTGGCTGCCAGTGTGTCGGGGGGGTCATCACTGCCTTGGGGAGGATGGGGCAGGGCAAAGAATCCCCCCAGTTCCTTCCTGAAATCTCTGGCCCCACCCCTGCTGGGGGCTGAACTGAAATCCCTCCTCCCTCATTGGGGGGTGTTGCCCCGTCACTGCCCAGCTCCTCTGACTGCCCCTTTGAACTCAGGCTGGGAGTACTGGTCACTGCCAATGTGTGCATGGGACGCGCTGCAAGACGGGGATTCTTGCCCCTCTCCGGGTCTCCTCCTTAGGTGAAATGATGAAGGAAGGGTCTAATGTCTTTTTAAATGGCACAATTTTAGGGGTCTGAGGGTGCAGTCCCTTAACCTGCCACTGGAGGGCACCCCCTAAACTCTTTCTTTCCCGCACGGTCGAGGTTCCTGTGTGGAGGGGGAGCAGCGAGATCGAAGCTGTGGTGTGAAAGGGTAGGGAGAGATGCTGGGGGTGAGGGTGCTGTGTTCTAGACCCCCCATATTATCCCAGTATCCCCTGCCCCCCTTCCCTCACCCCATGCCCCCAATTCTGTGGCGCATCCAGATTGTGAAAATGTACAATAAATGTGTAATGAGTAACCAGGTGGTGTTTTAAGATCTTTTTTTAACCAGTGGGAAGCGTATTGGATCTGCAGGTGTAACAGGAAGGTTGAGAAGATACATCTGGAAGGGACAGCTTTGCCGGGGGCCTGACCTTGGGCAGGGCAAAGGCAAAGTGTGATTCACCAAGTGGCCACGAGGGGGCACCAGGAGTTGATAATGGGAAGTGTTCATGATCCCAGTGTCTCTCGGTCCCGTGAACCCTGAGGTCTGGGCTTCCCAGCTTCCTGCCCCCCCCCCCCACTTCCCTGCGGGCATGCTCCTGCTGTTTATTGGATCCCTTTCTGCTCCTTGATTTAAGTCTCAAATGCTCTGCAGTCTCTCCCGTGGTCATGTACTCCTAGGCCTGAAGTAGATGGACAACTGTGAAACGTCTCTCCCTCATTGTGCCTAGCACAGTGCTGCATCCAGAAGGCGTTAGTAAATACTTATTGAACAAAACAGCTCAGGGAGATCCAGCCGAGTGCGGTGTGGCTGGCTGTAGATGGCCTGCTGCCCCTGCACTCAGTGTTGCCCGACTGGTGGCTCTGGACCCCATACTGAACTCCTTTAACCTCCAGTTCCATAACGCCCTTGACGTGGCATCCTAGCATCCCTGCCCACAGGCACTTTTAACAGGGGGGGCGAGTGCTAGGTGAGTTCTGGAGGGCCCACTTTTCTGTGCTGCAGCATGAGGATTCAGCAGCCTAGGAAACCTAAATAGTGTTTCCCAAACTTTTAGGCTCCTAAGAACTACCAGGAATGCTTTTAAAAATAGATTTTCAGGCCCCTTCCCCGGAGATTGATTCCGCAGTTGTAAGGGACCCAGGTGATTCTTATCATTATGTATACAGCCATTATAATGTTCATCACTTGTTGAGGGCTTACTATTTTCAAGACAGTGCTCAGGGCCTTTTTGTGCTTCATCTACTGAGTCCTTCACATGTTTAGGGTTCCCGCAGGCCTTAGGGCCCACCTTTATCGTATCAGGGACCTGAGTTCAAATCTTGACCCCAGTAGAGACTAGCGTGTTAATCCGGATACATTATGTAACCTTTCTGGATCTCAGTCTCATTTATGAGACAGTGGGAAGTAGATCAGCCGCCTCCTCCGGGTTTGTAAGAAGCGCATGGCCTGGCCCACAGAAAATATAATCTGGGAGGTGGCTATCATCTTCATCGTTACCACGCGGCACTGAGACCTGAAGATCGCTTCACCGTAATGCCAGCAGCTTCCAGCTTCAGGGAGCTTCAGGAACCCAGGTCCACAGTCCCAGCGCGGGGGCGCTCTTGTCACGCGCCTAACGGCTCACAAAGCGCCACCACTGCTCACATCTGCGCCTGCGCAGACTCGGCCGTCCTGGGTTAGCGTGTCGTCAAGGAAAATCCCCAGCTTCTAGGTAAACAAGTTGCCGCGTGAGATCGCCCGCACGTGTCCTCTACAGCTCCGGGACTTCTCAGCCTATGAGAAAATTTGGAGGACTGGACTGGCGTCCGCGTCACCGATCTAGGCGGGTCGGGGGACGCTGCCACAGCCAGTAAGAACTTCGGAGGTGGATGTGGGCGTGGCTTTCGGTCAGCTTCCAATCAACGTGCTAGGGTGGCCCCTCCCGCACGTGGATCTGTCACTGCTGGTTGGCAAACTGACCAATGAGAAGATGAGGGAGGCGGGCGGCGCCAATGGTGGCAGTGCGGGGGCTGGGCGGCCGCACGCGGCGCGGGGCATGGGTCGGCGCCCTTCGGCCAATAAGCTTGAGGGGCGTGGCATCCTGGTCGGCGGGCGGGCCTGGAGAAGCGAATCCAAGTCTCCTTGATCCTAGTTAGGAACAAATCGGACGGCGTGCGCGCTGAGCGGTAAGTGCTCAGGCGTGGAGGGTGAGGAGCGGCGGTCGGTATGGGTTTTTCCACGGTGGTTCTGTAAGGAGGGGTGTTAATGCATTGCCGTGAGGGGGATCTTGCAAATGCGTGATCACCGCGGTGGGAGCTCTGATGGTTGCGGGGGAATAGGGGCTGCGAACTCAGCTCTAGAGAGAGGGGAGCGGGAATCCTTGACATCAAATCCCTCAACGCCCTAGGGTCCCTGTACCCCTGACTGCCGCGGGGAGGGGCTCAGAAGTCAGCGAACTGAGGGAGCTGAGAACCCTACTCCCAGGGAGGTACGGGACAGGACCCCTGAGAGCCGGTGGGAGACGTTCCAGTGCGTGACTGCTGTTTTGGTAGGTGCCTTAAGCACTTGGAATAGGCAGGGGTTCTGAGGCTGGAGAGAGGTCCTGGTAGGGCAGTTGAGAGGGTACCAAAGGGGATACGGTGATTTGAAAAAGGGTGGGGTGATGATTTGTGTGACCCTGAGCTAGTCACATCAGGGCTCTGGATGTCTTTCTCATGTGTAAAGGGGAGGGGTTGGAACTCGGAGCCATCTTTGGGAGTAAACGTGGGGTAGCAACTGTCGGATCCTGAGAGGGAGGATGGGCTTGTGCAGATTGGTTGTATACTTGTCCTCCTGAGCCCCTGGAGGTGAGGAGGCACCAACAGGGTGCTCTGGTATCTGTCTGTACAAGCAACGAGGCCTGTGGTAAAGTGACCTGCGGTAAGGTGGAAGAGTGAGGAAGTGGGGTTCCTAGGAAGTCACTGGGGCTGGTGGCTGCTAGGGTGATCTCAAGGACTTTGTGAGCATGTGAAAACTGGGACTGTGATGATTTGAAGTGTGTGGAGAGTGCAAACTGAATGTCCCAGGGTAGAGGAGAGGTTGGATGGAGTCTGTGTTTTAGGCACCAAACTTAGAATTGGCTGAGTGTTTGAGAGGCCCAGGTTCCCAGAGCTGGTAACACCTCAAAGGTTCCTGAAGGGTAAGAAATCAGAATGACAAGCCATTATCAGAGCTCAGATTTGAACCCTGGGTCCCATTTGTTAAGAGCCTGAGAACTGATTATGAGACATTTTAGGCAAGTTTGGTAACTTCTGAGCCTTAGTTGGTCCTTGTGGAATGGGGATAATGATACCCATCTCGCAGGATTGTTCTGAAGATTAAATAAGATAATGTATGTACAGTGCTCAGCGCAATGCCTGGGTCATGTTTTTAATTTTTTTTTTTTAGGTAAAAGAAAATTGCTATAGGGTGACAAAAGAACAGTGACAGGGTGTAAGATTTATGTGAATGCTGTGGTGGGGAACTATTCTCATATTCTTAAGTTTTTTTGCAAATTTTGGTGACCCCCGCCCCATTTCCCTCTTCCTGGTTCTTGTCTCGAGGCACCAGCCCCAAACCTTCATTCCTCCCTTTTATCCCTCTCCCAAGATCCAGGCCCCAGGCTGGGCCACTTGCTCTTTCCCAGTTCGAGTTCCTCATCCTAGACCCATTCTCCTCCCTCTCCCTCCTCCCTGTCTCTGCTACCATAGTAACAAGAGATTCAGGCTCTGAAGGGGGCCTCAGGGAAGGAGCAAAGGTCTCTTGCAGAACCTGGCCTCCAACTTTCCCGCCCTGGCTTTGGGATCGGGCCAGCAGATGTGTACAGTCTGGAAGAGAGGGAAAGCCAATGCCAGGAGCTGTAGGAGCAAGCCAAGGGGAGGGCGGATGCGAGTCTGGAGAAGAGAGCCAGGCGTGGGGGCGGGGGAGGGGGGACCCCGGGGGACCCCTTCCTCCTAATCCTCTCTCCAGGAATCCCTGGCTTTGGGACAGGGTGGCTGTCGTTGGGTTGGGGGGAGGCGCCCAGGCTGGGTGCATGTCCTGGGCTACCAGCCAAAAGAACATGATGTTCCCAAGTTCGCTGGCCGCCGCCCTCTCGGGCTGGCCGCCTCCCAAACCGCTGCCTCTCCAGCCTCCCTGCCCCACATTCCCCGGCTGCCTCGCCCCGCCCCCTTCCTCCGCTTGACGTCACCGCCGCCTCCCACCCCCTCTCCTCCATTGACGGCAGCAGGGTCTGGTTACTGTGGGGACCGTGAGGCAGGATCCTGATTAGGGCCTTGAGAGCTGCTGGAGCGCTGGACCCTTTTGTCTACGCAAAAGGAAAATATGGAGGTGGAGGTGGAGAGCAAGGATCGCCTGTGCCGGGGGAGATCACATCTAGAGCCCTAAGGAGTGCTGAGGAAGAAGAAAAAGGATGTTTCCAGAGAAGAGGTGTTTGAAAAGGAGACAAGGGACTGGGCCACAATATATGAGTTGGGGGGACATTTTCAAGGAGAGAAGACTGAGAATCCAGGCTCCTCAATCCTTTATTTCCTGTTTTCTTGCTTTGGTTTTTCTGGGTTATTCTGTAAGCTTTTCCACAGAGCCCTGACCCTGCCCACCCCCCCACCCCCCCCATGGGGAACACAATTGTTAAGGAAAGCTTAGGCCACGTAACAGGCGTGTGCACCCACGCTGATTACGTCAGCATCAGCCTCTTCACTTGCCACCCACGTTTCCAGGGAGCCCTGAGAGGAGCTACGCATCAGGCTTGGATGGAGGGGGTCTGTGTAACTGCAGCTCTTCGCGGCCCAAGGTGGCACTTTGTTCCCCCAAATTTAGGACTCAGTGTTCTGCTTCTTGCCTCTTAAAAAAAAAATTATAGTTTCCAGCTCCTTCTCTATTACTGAGGCCCCTCCCCCTCCCCTAGCTCTAGTTACAACGTCACCATGTTTATGATCACCTACTGCGTGTCAGGTTCTCTCCTGGGGGCTGCGGAATACAGTTAAGGAGACAGGTGATGAGGTCCTTGGCGTTCTCTTCTCCTTGCGGTGGGGACCTGAAGCCCTTGCCACCCCACCTTTGTCTAAGGTTTCTTCTCTCAGCCGCCCCTTTGTTCCCCTGCAGCCCTGGCTGCCTGGCCCCTACTTTTGGTGCAGCCGTAACTGTGGGTGGCTGCATCCTCAGGAGAGAAGCACTAATCACCATGTAGGTTGCCCGGTGACCTTTTCTCTGATTGGCCATGGAAACACCTGCCATTGTTTCCCTTCACAGCTCCTGTTGGCTCTGGCTGCCCCTTCTATTGTTTGCATCCTTCCCCCCACTCCACCCCCTCCTCA